TAAAAAATGTAAAAAAATACATATTTAATAGAAATCCATAATTTTTAAAAAAAATATTTATTAGATAATAAAATCTGTTTTAGCAAAAATACTAATTAAAAGAGTTACTTTTAAGTTTGAGACAGACGCACTTTTAAATAGCATATCATTGTGATATAAAAGCTTTAATTTTATTCTAAATTGTTGAGAACTTGAATTAAAATATAAAATTTTTTCATTTCAACTCTTTTAAAGTTTATATAAGTAACTAAAAATAATTTAATAAATAATATAACTTCACATGGTCTTCAAGCATGAACCCTTAAATAATTTTCAAGACCCTTCAACTCTATATACAGTATTGAGAAACAAGAAACAGAAGTACTCACGATCGCTCCTTTTCTTTCTTTCAAGTGAGCGACAAAAAATCGCTCGTAACACATTTAGGCGGTCGGTGTCTCTCTCAGTGCCAAATGCAGAGAACAATTATTATTTATAGCCGTGGCCTCATCTCGCGGATCCTCTCCAACTTTATTCCCGATCCGCGCTTCCTTCCTCCGGCAATCATTCAACTTCTCTTCAAGTGTCGGGCTCGAGATTATTAATTTTATTTTCGCTCTCAGGAAACAAACGCGACTCATCCGCGACTTCAACTTCACTGTTTGTACGCGGCGTGTATTTATATATTTTCGACGAGTGCCCCCCAAATCGTCGGATTGCTCCAAAAGTTGGCTGGAGAGAATTATTGCTAGACGCGATGTTTGTGCAGAGGGAATTCCCTGCCGGGGCCGCCTACACGTAGACTAGAGAAATCGATACAACCGAGAGAGCACTTTCATCCCCTAGCAACTCTCGCAAGATTTGGAGCAAAAACTACGCACCGCTTTGGCAAACGTGTGGAAAGCTGAAAGATTTATTGGCAAAAAAAAGTAAAATTTTGATTGAAATACTGCCGGAAATACCTAAAATTGCGTACGCTTGGACCAACGCCAGAGCGAGGTTAAAATGATGTTCATGTGAAATTAAATCAATGAAATTAATTTGTAGCTCATAAAAATTGCAATTTTAAAATTTAAAATCAATTATTATTTACTTCGTTTGGTGACGAAAATAATTTATTTAAAAATGGTCCATTTTTGTTGCAGATTTTTTCTTTCTTTCAACTATAAACATTTACAAGCAGTTCATGATCATGTGGAGCCAAAATAGAATTCAAATGAAATTTGACAGAAGTCTTATTTTTTAAGAAAAAAAATTGTATTTATTTTTATTCAAATTTCTTAAAATGTTTAAAATCCATTCCTTTCATTGCATCCATTTCAAATTGAAATAGAGACAATTTTTGATAAATTAATTTTTATAGACAAATCTTGGCTATCAAAGTGTCTCCTAATGTCAGACAATCGTTTATTTAATTAGAGCCTGAGCATCCACTCAAATTTTAAGTGGCTTCGAGAGTGCATGACTGACATTTCATATCTTATAACTAGAATTTGTGTGAGAATTTCTTTCGCGTCTGAAATATCACGGTTTTCTAGGCGCCAACAGGACGGTCCCAAACAAATTTTTAAATTGTTGGTGCCAGAAGAGCCCTTCCATTTATCAAACGCACAGCGTGTTTGGAGTATAATCTCTCTCTGTAAAAAGTAATTCAGCTAAAAGCTATTGATAATCGCGCGGCCCTCCAAAGCGGCACTACTTCCTGTCTGTTGTGTTAAAGCACATGAGCCAGAAACGAGAAAAAAAGAGGCAGGGTGCATAGGGATGATGGGTGTGGGTGCACCGGGCTCGTCAAAATAAACACGCTCGGATTGCCCTGCGATGCAGTTCATTATTTATACAGCAGCCCTGCGCTTTATTTAACAATCTTGCTTGAGGAGAAACAGCGGTTATTTACTGGGAAAGAGGGAAAGACCCATGCACCGCGCCACAGTGTCGGACTTAACGGTCTGTGTGCAGTGATTTTTGCTTTAGGAAAGAGGGGACGTGCTGGTGCGTCATAAAAATAAAAGAAATCATCGAGGAGAGCCCCCGGAAGAAAGGTATACTTTCTGTGAATTCCATTTACGTGAATCCGACAAAATAATGTCAAGTGATAAATTAAAATTTCTTAAAAAGACGACTGACGCAGCAAAAAAAATTTATGTTATCAATTCCTTCTAAATCTAAAATGTAATGATTAAACTGGCCACTTATCACGAAAAATACTACTTATTACTCAAATTTCAAAATTGAAAAATCGAGGTTAAGTCTTTTTTTTACCAAAATTAAACATTCAAAGATAAATTTTCAGTTAATTTTTAAATTCATTTTATTATTTTCGATTAAAAAACAAAAACTTTATGATGAAAGAAAATTTAATTAAAGAACTTGATAATTTTTTTTCTAAAAACACAAAATTATAAATAAACTAGAACCCATTGTTGTCAAAACGGTTAAAAATGGAATATTATCTGCAAATAATAGTATTAATAAGAAATTGCAATGAAACGTATTATTATTTTCAGTTTATTTTACACAACACTTTGTTTAATAAATTTGATTGACAAAGCCTAGAAAATAAAAATAAAATCTTAATATTGCTCTAGAAAAATCTAATAATTGTCCGTTTTTATGTTAAATAGTCAAAAACGCTGTTATTATTTCACATAACTTGGAATCGAAATTACACAATTCTTAATAAAAAATAGAGTTTGGTGCAAAATTAATGAGAAAATTAGGAAAATTACGTAACATATTATATTCTCTGAATTTTGAGTAAGGAATAAAATAGAATTAACGGAAAGACACATAAAATGGGTTTTAAAATACAATAAACTTCGTGATTAGAGAAGCGAAATTCTAAATGCAAATAAATATGAAGATTGACCTTCGCAGCGCCAAAAGATCAAGGTATCAATTTACAAAGGCGCCCATGAATAATTCAAAATGTCCAGTTAGGAATAAATTTAATCAAAGACAACGTGTAATTATTCAGCTCATCAGCGGCCAAGTCAAGCTGAAAACCTCAGTGTGTTGTTTTCCACCTCCTCTTTTTCTGCTCTACTCACGCACATAAATAATTTTCACAACTCCACAGGGCTTATACTTGCCACCAGCAGACCCAGCACTTCTGTTTTGTGTGAAAGAAAAAAAATGCCGAAACCGCAGCATCGCACACGTCGAGAGATTGTCTCGACCATAAGCAATTTCCGCCGCGGCCAATGGACTTTTTGTTTATCTCAAACTTCAAAGCGGAAAAGTAGAATTCTTCCCGTGCAGAAAAATTCCTTGAAAAAGAGAAATGACCCGAGAAAAAGGCAAAAACCTTGCTTGGTACAGGAAATTTAATTACATGTTTTCAGCGCGTGCGGCATTAAATTAATATTGCGTTCGAACTTCAAAGAAGAGCATTATATGCACATGCCTATGCATGTATATCGAGTTGCACTCGTTCTCGCTGCATTAATAATTATTTAGTTTTTTTTACACCAAACCAGATGAGGCGCGACACACGTCAAGAAAGTTGAGCGTGCTTAATTATTGGATAAATGTTATTTTTTCAGGATGTATTCCTATTGAGTGAAAAGCAGTCGCGATAAATATAGAGGTCGTCGACTTTTCGGCAGCATTATCTTCCTTTTATGGAAACTCATTTCACTCTAGCGTGTAGAGGCCTGATGACTTTCTCATCCAACATTAATAATTTGTTTCATAAGCAGCGACAAGATAAACATATGGACGAATTTAATTGATTCAATTTTTATAGGTAAAAAATGTCTTAAGAATTGTTCTCAAAAAGTAAGAGAAAATGTTTTAAGCTTCAATTTAAATTCAAATAGTCATAACCAAATATAAAAAAATAAAAAATCGTTCGTTTTCACCAGATTTATAAATTTTATATGGATCTGATTTTTATTTTTATTTCCAGATTAAATTCAATTTTATGGAAGTTTTTATAATATTTTGTTTATTCTTAAGTATGTTTTGTTAAAATGATCTAAGCATTTATCTCGAAAAGATATTGAATTATTTTAGCTCATGACTATTTTTTAATTTCATAAATTGATTTTTATTTACGCAATTTTATCTCTAGCATAGTCTGTTTTAATCGCAAGCCACTCTTTTTGCGATTCCGGACTTTCCAGAGTTAAATAGACATAGAAATGTTAAAAAAAAATCCTTCCTTTTACGGACTATAGCTCGGTATCACCTGATAAACTGAAGCTAACCAGTACTATTCCAATTAAATCGGAATATTTGCAATCTTTCCTCGCAACAAAACCTGTTCTCTGATATACCATATATCCGCGCCGCACTTCACGAATATGGAACAAAGGAGAGGAAAATCAGATTGCATATCTTCTTAAGAACAATAAAAAAGATCCAAACTAATAGTCGGAGCTTGTCAAGAATGCCTGCTGATAAAATATCAACTTCTTCTCTTGAATGCTAATTGAATTTCGCAAACATAAACTCGACCTTGCATGTTCAAATTAAACCTTCGTCGGGTTGAGTTACATGTTCTGATCAAATCACAATTATTTTACCAAGTGGATAAAATTAAAGGCTGGCGTGAGACTATTATATTAATTATATTAACTCAACTGTTTCCATTTATAGATCCACGCAGAATACGATTTTAAATTAAATCTTAACTTTAAACCTACAACATATTATGAGAAGAAAAAAATGCCAGAATATTTGGCATTTAAAAAACCGACCGCAAACTTTTTCAAATGAGTTCATTATATTTACAGGAATTAAAAAGTCACCCAATATGGGGATGGGTTTCCCGTTCCCGGCAAATCCAACTCATCAGATTAATCAGTGCGGCGGTCATTAAAACATTTTACCATGAATTTTACGCTTGTGAGCGTCGGGCGGCTACCAAACGCGCGCTCTCTGCTTTTACAGCCCTCTGGCCGAGAGTTAAAGTTCATAACGATGAACTTGGGCGATAAAAATATTCTCAGCCCCAAGACAGAGCACACCATTATATATGTCCAAATAAAACAAAAATGTATATATAATATACTCACCACACTCTCATCGATGTATGAAGGTCGAGCTACACATGCTGGCGAGACCAGGAGCACTGCAAACAGCAGCAGCCGGAAGCCGAGCCGAAAGTCACCGGCCGAAATGGACTGATTTGTGCACAGCATTTTCCCGAGTGTGAGAAAAAAATTATGCCAGAGAGGACTAATTAAGTATTGGGCATAACAGTTTGCCGGTTGGCATGAGACCGGTGTCTGTTCTCGGACGCAGCAGTCCTCCGGGTGTTGCCGCCTGACCGCCACAGTTCAGTCACATTGACTGACTGAGCGGAAGAAGCGCGCGGCCAGTGCTCTATGCCATGTGCGCCGGCACACGACGGCGCAGTGGGAAGAAGGAACCCTCTCCTGTGTGCAGCATACAATGTTTGAGTTACTACTGACACAATGCCATAAAAATAATTTTTTAATTTTAAATACAAATGAGATGCATTTCTACAGCTGTTTGAATTTTTATTAATAATTTGTGTCAAAATTTGTATACAACTACAAAAATGTTCATTTTATGGTGGAATGAACAAGTACATGGTTATCAAAATTAAATTTTATCCAACCTTTGCAGTTTCTCAGTCCTGTTTAGACTTATTTGTAACATATTTTCTTCTCCTGAGATTGGCACCAAGTAAGGAGCTGTCTGTAGGCTTCACCTGAAAACAACATAGATTTTTGTTTGTGGTTTATTATAAAATTTGTAACATGTAAATGACAGCATTTTATAAAATAAATTGGAATTTTGAATGGTTATTGTTGAATAGACGATGAATTTGGCAATTTTCACATGTTTCATGATCAAATTTTCATTTGAATTTTATTCGATGAAAAAAAAATTGGGATATAACATAAGATTATTATTATTATTTTATTTTTAAGTAATTTAACATAAGGGAAAATCTTTTAGGTATACTAAATAACAAATTAGGTCTTATATATTATGTTATGACATTTAGAACAATACAGAGCTTTAAATTGTCAGAGGAAAACTGCAACACATTAAATTGGGGTTTCATGTTATGAGAGATAAGTAAGTCACCTTAAGTACAAAATTTATAAGAATCATAATTATTTTTTTACCAACTGACTGGTTCTCATCTTCAAGTTTCTGCAAAATTTTCTCCTCCAATTTCTCAACAACATCATCATTGTAGAAGGAATAGTAAAACAGAGCTTTCTTAGCTTCAGAAGCAGCAATCATCTGAATTTTGGCCTTCAAAATAGTGTTTCCCTATAAATTATAAAAAAAAAATTGTATTTTCTTACTACACCAAATTTCGGTAAAGACTTTACCATGTAACAGCCACTGCCCCAGTTTCCAGTCGCAATGGTGCCAAGTTTGGTTCCCGAAAAACCAGCATAGGCCTTGTTCAGTTCCCTATCAACGTTTTTCTTTGCAAACTGCTCAGTCACATTGGGACATCCAGATGAAAAGTTGAGAGCGTCCATTGAGATGACAGTGTGAGGCCCTCGAATCGAGTCTTTCGACTTGGGTCCCTTGCATGTGAAGCTTTGAGCGTCGGTGCCATCAAAGTCCGCGTACTGCAGGACACCCTCGACGATGATGGCCTCATTGTCTGCCATTTCTTTGACAAAAAGCTTAGAGGCAATCAGTTCTGGACAGGTGATGAACCAGATCTCCTCCCGGAGACATAGTCCTTCCAAGACGCCTCCTCCGATGCACCTATTTAACATTTTTTCTTATGATATAATTTTTATTTTACTAGTTTTATTATACTTGTTGGCAAAGTTGACCTGGGCCATGTTGTAGGCCTGAGAGATGCTGCCTTTGGGGACAATGCTGAATGGAATGATGGGCTTTTCAGAGCCAAACCAGTCAGGTGCATTCTCGATCGTACTTTTCTTGAAAGTAACTGTTTCCTGAAAAACTTTAATAACAAATATTCATAAAAATTCATTACATTTTATTATTTCCACTTACAGGTCTGGTCAAAGTTGACAAAGATTGAGTTGAAGTAGGTGATGATGCACTTGATCATTTCCACTCTAGATCGGTCATTGCCATTACGGCAACTGTACAACCTGTTGCAACAAAAACCAAAATAATAAAATTTTCACTTTTAAATTAGCGGCGATTCTCACTCTGTAAAATTGATTTCAGATGTGTCAGGAAAGGTGCAGAGAAAAGCATTGGACAGGATGCAAGCCACCTCCATTCTCGTCAACTGCAGTTCACTTGTCTGGGTGTTGAATTTGTCCAGAAGACCACACAGAGGTCCGGAAGTGATGAACCTGGCCACATTCACCACTTGCGGGAACACTTGGGTGAAGAAGATGTGCTTCTCTGCAACGTCCAGCTGCAAAATAAAATTTCAATAATTAAATTTACGAAGAATTATGTACATCATCGACTTGATCTTTGCATCAAATGGAAAGAAAGGGTCTGAAAAACAAATTGTGTACCTGATAATCAAGAGTGTTCACCAAAACATTCATGTTCCCCAGTTTCTTGGTCTTGTGTGAAACAGTTTGCCTCTTGATGAAATTTTCGAGGTCGGCGCCTCTTTCCAACTTATCACCCCAGGCAGATGCCATGGACTGACCAATCTGTAAAAAATACATACAAAGCATTTCACAGCAAATACATAGGGTGGGTCATTTATGTAAAAAATAAAAAAATAAAATCTAAAAATATTACGAAAAATTCATTTTAAGTTTTAATTTGAAAAATATGAGGAGTGACAAAAAAAAACAACTGCGATGAGGAAAGTTTTGCAAATTTTATAACTTTCAAAAGTTTCAAAATTTGTGTGGAATACATATCATGGTGTGATTCTGTTTTGTCCAAAACATCCAACAATCTTCGCTTTTATTTCTTTCAAACAAACTCTGTTTTTAAGAAATAATCTAAATCATTATTGTTTGACTGCATGAAAGCAAAGAAAATCAAAACGATCGGAAAACAAACAAAAAATGAAGAAATTTTTATCTAAAAATCATTGTTTGAACAATTTACCTGGCTGTAATTTGTTTTCTTTGGGCTCTGGCTCTGCCGCTTGCTCATCTTGAATCGTTTCTGATTTCTTTCGTTGCCTTTATGTGTCCTAAAAATTATTTTTGGCTTTGCGAACAAGGTGGGTGAGGAAAAACCGGCAGAAATGATAAAAAAATGATGAACAGTCGCCAAAAATGTCAACAACTCAACTCTGCTCTGCAGGATCAAGAACAAGCAACAAGCGGATCTGGAACTGGATTGGAATGAGACGAATGAGTTCAATTTCAATGTGTGGATGTGGAATGATTTCTGGTTCATTCCAGTCCGCGACCCTGTTGCAACTTGCACGCGATCCTATATTTTTGTATTTTCTGAGAGTCGCACATTCAGAATGGGGAAAGGAGGGGATGGCGGGAAATAGGAGAAAAAGTTGTTAATTTTATTGTTATATTTTTTTCTTTTTACAAATAATCTTCCTTGATTCAAACTTGGCACTTGGCAAACGACAATTTGGTGCTTTTTAATGTTTTTAAATATTTCTCTTTTTTTTTCGGCAAAATAATTTTCGTGAGTTATAATTTTAGGTCACAGAATTTTTGACGGAGTAATAAAAAAACTTCAATTTTCTACAAATTCATAATTATTAATATATGATGCATTATAATAACCGGCTATCAAATTTTAAAGAAATTATGTGTTCGTTAGTCACATGGATTTGTTGTCAAATGAACAAAATTATAATCATTTCAAAATGGTACATTTCATGGGGAATTTTACCATTTTTATTTCAACAAAAACCCAAGGATATTTAAATCAAAATAAAATCGAAGATAATTTTATATTATGCATTGCAAAACATGACCACTTGTTGGCAATGATTTTATTTGGAAAGAACTAAATCTAGCAAAAATATGCACACAAAGTACAAAAAAACAACAATATTTTGGCACAATTTCTTTTCCAAAAGTGCTCACAAAAACTAAAACGTGATATTAAACATAATTAGATCTAACTTAATAAATATACGTGTAGTATACATTGCGTGTTTTTTACATTTAAAAAAAAAACACAAAGTGGCAAAATTATCTGAAAAACTGATCAGTCGATACATTTTGCCAAAAGGAATATTTTTAAAACAATTCAGACATTGTCATTTTTCCAAGGCTAACAATAAAGCAGTCTTAATTTAAATCTATCGATATATAATTGCATATGCGCTTGGCAGTTAATTCACTAACTAAAAAATTACAAGTATTACGCTGGAGAGGTCACTATTTTTCAAATAAATACGTTAAGTCCTAATCTTCTAATTAGCTGCGGGGCGGCTATTGTTGAGTCGTCTCAGTCTCACTTTGCCAACTGGAACTTTCTTTGTTCTGGAAAATAAAGATAAAATAAATACAAGGAAATTTAAATACTTTATTAATTTCTTATGAATTATTAAAATTAAACCTCTTATCTTTTTTACAATTTTGTATGACGAGAGAGGATACAAAAAATTTATACTTTGTGGTAGATTCTGATTCCGTGCTGCATCCGTTTAAAAGACCAGCTAAGTCCTCAACGTCCAAAATCTCTGAATGATAATCAGAGTCACTGCTGACCTCAGAGCTTGAAGCATCAGCATCACCCTGCAGAAAAAAATGCAATTTATTTTATTGATTTCATTTAATACGAGTTCCGTCAATTTAAATCCAAAGTCAAAATGTGAACTTTTTATGTTAAAAAAAAATTATATTATATTATTCCATGCACGTATACATAACAAAAACAGCTCTCACCTTTTCCTTTGATCCACAAGAACAACCACATTTTTTTTCTTTCTCTCCACCGTCATGAGCCTATAATAACAAAATGCAAATTTTTAATAATTTTTTTAAAGCGTTTTTTTCAGTAAATTCACCTCTCCATCAAGATTCTTCTTCTTGGTCTTGCAACAAGCTCCCTTGGTACCGCAGCAGGATTTCTTCTTCCGTTTTTTCTTGGTCTCGACTTCCTTATTATCTTCACTGCTGCTGTCACCGGTCGACTGCGACAAGTCACTGGTTGTCGATAGAGTCTCTAAATTGCTATCCTCCACTTCAGCAGACTTTGCTGCCTTCGATTCTAAAACTGCTGATGTGGTGCTGGACTTGGCTGAAGACTCTGGTGAGGAAGAACCTTTTTTGTTCTCGGAGAAAAAGTGGCTTATGACGAGGAGCAAAACTAACGCAGACAAAACAGGAACAAACATGTTGCCTATCAAGGGCAGTCCGAAGATTTGAAAGGCCATACTTCAGATCAAGTATAATTTCCTCCTGAAAAAAATTACAAAAAAAATTAAATAAAAATAAATTCATTCAAAAGAATTCAAATTAGCAGATGCAAATTTTATTTATATATCTGACTAGATATCATTTTCTCTTATTTTTTCGTTCCAAAATAAGGGATATAAGTACCAATAAGTACATATTTCGAAAAAAAAAATTAAAACAATAATTAAAAATTAAATTTCGTAATAAAGTAAAAGATTCAGGTTTTAATAAAAATTTGAATAACTGACAAAGTGACAATGCAATCAAAACTGTGACTCAATAAAATTATGAAAACAGCATAAAATGCTGAGGTGTGCTAAACGGCACGTCGCATACACCGCCCATAATATAAGTAGGCCCCTGTGGTAAAGTGCATTGACTGCGGTTCGTTTTTCAAAATAGAATAAATTGCTCAATTCCAAATCAATATGAAGAAATTTACAACCAAAGAGTGCAAATATATTGGTAATTGTCAACGAGTAGAATTTTACAACTTACTTCGATTTACAAAGCGGAAAAAGGCTGATTTTGCGACGAACTAAATGCCTTCCATGCACTTCAATGCGTTTCAGTCTTGGTCTACGTGACTTCGCGCTCATCGCCAATGTCCTCTGTAAGCGAAAGGGATGGGGAATGTTTTTTTCTTTTTTTGGCCAGCCAGAGTTGAGCTTTCTAAAGGAAGCTGTCGTAGATTGGTGGCATTGAAGGAAGGCAGCCAATCAATGCAATGTTGACTTTCAAAATCAACCAATGAGAGCAGAGTTTACAAAAATCGTCGACCAATCACAATTTAATTATTTTAATTTCACTTTCAAAACAGTTTGACCAACATAAAAACTGCGATTGCGAATCTGGTTATTCTGGTTTTCTAAAATTAATTCGTGTGTGAGGCTTTTCTGCTACTTCACCGGCCTCTTCAGAATTAATTGTAATTCAACCTTAATTTAATTAGATAGAAAACTGCATTGTTTGGGTAAATTTGATAAGCCATGGAAATGTGAGTAAAAAATAACAAAAATTCTATGTTAACATAATACATTAAAAATAAATTCATTGAATTTTAGAGTTCCAGATGAAGAAGTTTTGCTCTCAAATTTCGAGGTAATTTTTTCAATTATGTATTTAATTTCATGCTTTTCATGTATCCCTTTTAACTTCTATCTCAGGTTCTGCAGATATTAAAAGAGTCTCAGTCAACTACTGGTGTAAAAAACAGAAAGGACCCTTTGGCCACCATCAGATACGAGGTATGTAAATTTTTTTGCAATTATTTTATGTATTTAATATTTTTTATTTTCAGACGTTAGAATACTTCAAAAGAAGTCCGTGTTATGTGCAAAACGAAGAGTGCATCAAGAGTCTTGTGACTGCGCTTAAACCATACAAATTGACCAAGAGAGAATTTCTTTCGATCCTCAACAGCCGACCCACTGCCCCCGCTGACCTAGCTCCAGTGAGTTTAGTTTCTATGTAATGTTATCTGGGTAATTAAAATTTAAATTCTAGCTTTTGAATGAGTCGGAGGACCACATCACTGATGAGAATATGACTGAAATAGTTCAACTGATAGCTGAAATCCTTCCCGCACCAAAATAATTTATATAATATATAAATTGATATTATCATCCTTGCCAATATTGAACATATTTATTTCCACTGAAAATCAGAATAAATATAAAAATGAAAGTTTTTTAATTGCAGCTCTCTTCGATTTTAATTCAATCCAATTGAACCATCGCCATTTATCTCTTTTGATCTCCGAGATCGTCTATGAAATCCTCATCGATCTTAAACATTAAACAGTTGACATTAATTTTAAATTTGAAAAAAAGGGATTTTTTACCTCTGGCCATTTTTCTGGGATAATATCAAATAGTTCATCTTTGACGTCACCCTGAATCACAATCTCATCAACTCCCGTCACAGACGAGCCACAGGAAAACTTTTGTGCAAAGAATTTGGATGCGACCTTAAGATCTATGTCTGCAATTTGACATGGATTTTAATTTAAACAGTTATAAAGATTTAATAAAAATTTACCGAATGTGCTCAGTCCAGAAACAACAGTCACAGACTTCTTTTTTCCTCTCGGGGCCCTCGAAAGGCACACTTTCTTGGGCACCTCTTCCTTTTTCTTTGACTTCAAAACGCCTTTGCCTCCTCTCTTTTGTCTTTTCTTTTCGTCTTCTCCTCCCTCGTCATCTTTAGCCTCACCTGTAATACAAACACACATTTACTTTTTAAATTAACATAAAAAATTTATAATCAAACCTTGAAGCTGCAGCACTCGCTCGAACTCATTCGGCATGTTCTTCTCAAGCCACTGTTTACACTTTTCATAGTCTGGGTAATACTCGCAGTACTAGGGAAAAAGATTTGAGATTGTTAGCAAAAATTAAAATTGAATCTTTCTGTCAATAAAAGGCACACCTCTAAGGGTAAACTGCAGTTGCCGCAATACAAAACTTTCAGAGGGTACTGGACGCCTGGGACGGGCCTTCCGGCCTGCGGCTGAGGGACTTCAGCTTCTGAGCCGCTCATTTTCTATACTGAATAAAATTTGATCAGCGTTGAGTTAAATTATTGAGCATAATTTGCTCCTATAATACACACATGCGAGACGATCTAGCTGGCTTGTTTCACGGGTTTTTTTACAGCTGGCTGGCGTTTGTTTATATATTGTTGTGCTGGCTACCCTGATTGAGACATAATTTAACCCGAAAGGCCGCCAATTTGCTTTTTTAAGACATAAAAAATGAATTGACAAATTTTTCAAGAGTGAAAATTTTTTTAAATTGTGTTAAATTTTGCTTCTCACACTTCTCTTAATTTTTGAAAAAGGCCATAACAAATAAGTCATATTATCTGCACTAAATTAACAGTAAATCTTTAAAGAATGATCACATTTTTTTTTTAATAACCTAGTTAAATATTTGGTTGAGATAAAAAATAAAATATTGAAAACAATGCAGTTATATTAAAGGAGCAATCAGATGTATTTTATTCCTGCCATTTTAAAATACAAAACATGGTATCAAACAGAAATTCATTTCCTGTTTGGCGACCCCATGATTTTTAATGCTTATGTTTGTGTTTGTGCCTTTTGGGGGGTGGCGTCACCGATCCTCTGCCTTTTCTGTATGGCGGGGATCGAGATGAAGATCGTCTAGAAGATCTCCGAGGGCTCCGACTTCTAGACCGATGATTTCTGCGGGCGGCTGGAGAGTTACTTCGAGATCGACGTTTCCTGCTGGAAATTAATTTTGCTCGTACTAAAAGTGTTTTTAAAGGTAAATTTGTACAAACCTGCTGCTGTAATGGTAGTAGTTGTCATCAGGCGACACACTGTCTCGACGTCGACGTCGCGATGAGCTATCTCTTCGTTCCTCATTGGTTTTTTCTCTTTCCCTTTCACCACGCTCGGCCTAGAAATTTAAGATTGTATAAAAATTTATTCATAAAAAGCCTAAAATACAAAAGAAAAAGACAGGTTTACAACAGACTTGCCTCCAAATGACTGGAGTTGAAGAAATTTTAAATTTAATACCACGCTTTTCTTTATCACCAACAGACTGCTTACGGTCCTTAACCTGAAAAATAGGTTGATTACGTACCTTCCGCAGAAGTTTTTTCCTGTAGTGCTCCACTTGTTGCAAGATACTGCAGTTTGATTTAATAGAACGATCTCCACTCTCTAACTGGTCTTGGTACGTCATTACTTTTAATTCTATCTCCCGAAGTTTGGCTCGTCTTTCTTCAGTCATTTCTCTGATAATAAACAAAGACTTCATATAATAATACAAAAATTTTTAATACAATTAAACACACCTGTTTTCATATTCTCCTTCTAAATCGTCGTTGACCACACCATCGTCTGAATCGTTATCATCATCAGCACTTCGAGTATTTGAGTGCTCAAGAGACTCCCACTTGAGTGTTGTCATTGCTTGGGCCTCGACTTGTTCAGGGTCGACGGTTTCCCATTTTGATGGGACAAATCCAGCTGATTTGGAATTCATACCTTTATAAATAATAACTAAATAATTTCATTTTCCCCCTCAATAATATCATACCAAAGTGTCTTGTGTAATCCTCCATTGGCACTCCATCAATGTCATCATCCACTGATAAACATAACTAATTAAATTTAAAACGGTAATATAACGGCGACTTACAAGGAACTCCGTCCAAATCATCCTCCTCCATAAGCCTCTCTCTGGCTGCCTTTAGGGCCGAGCCATCCAAAGGTATTCCGTCCAAGTCTTCGCTTCCATCGTCATTTTCCGGAGATCCTTCATCGGGAGGCTCGTCTTCAATCTATAACATGGTAGGATTTATCAGATTGATATTAAAACTTGTGATGTATACTCATTCTTACATTGAGAAGTTTTGAGAGTCCCAGAAAGTTGTTCTGCAGTCTGATGAGGTAGTCACGAGGATAAATTGTCCAATCCTCCCAGGCCCGGAAGACCTGCATTACTCTCATTTTAAACGCTTCCGCTTTCAGACGACTCTCGATGCTTTTGTATGCATCACTAAAACTGATGAAAATCTGTGGCAGTTTTGACTCAAATCTAAGGACACGTTAAGTTAAATAGATGAACATCAATTTTTATGAATGCTTTCAATACCCTCTTCTATAGTAAGATGCGTTTGTAATTTTCACTCCACAATTATGCAGAATATCAGAAATGAGGTGCAGTCGAGCAATCTAGTAAATAAAAAATAATTTGAGAAATTTTGATCAATCTAAATTAATACTTTTTTATGTAGCGCTGTTGTGCTAACATTCAGAGACTCTGCAATGCACTCGCACACTTCTTCAGCTGCCTCCGAGTGCTCCATGCAAAAAACCATCACTTCACCAATTTTAGATTTTTGCGGAGTCAGATTTCTGAGCATGGTTTCAAATCGATCCCTTTGGCTATAAAATAAATGGCTTAAAACATTGGAACGTTTTATTTCAATTAAGCTTACGCAGCAGATAATTCGCCCTTCTTTGGCTCGGACGGGTCTGGCTCAACAAGTTCCTCCGGCATGCCCTGAGTGAACGGATTCATAGGAGGTGGTCTCCAAACCGATCCATCTACCAAAATTTAAAAAAAAAAAATCAGAACCATTATGAAAATCAAGCTATAATCTGTACCTTTGAAAATGCGAAAGTCGTCTGTTCTCCACTTATTCTGCGCTTCCCCTTGCAGAATGGAATACAGTTTGAATCTGTAGTAGGTGTGCGCAGGGCTCTGATTCTCAAATAAAAACCTAGATTGATTTGCGTTTAGCCCAAGAATAGCTAATTATTACAAAGGGCATTGGCCCTTACCTGAACATCGGGTTATTAATCTCCCTGTTCATTATCATTGCTTCAAACAAGGGACCTTCCCGAACCACAAACTCCACCATTCGATGAATGAGACACAGCAAATTCCTGGGGAAACAAGACAACTAAGCTTCCACCCTTGGCACCAAGTGCCTCTCTCAATAATAAATCACATAATTGTCAAGTGGCAATTAATTAAATCGGGGCTTCCAATCATTCACGAAATGGGCATAAATTATGAGAGTGACTCAAAATATGTGTGAACGAGACAAAAATAAAAACGATAGTCATCATCAATGGCAATATATGCAAGTCGCGTCGGCAGCCAGACTACTATACAGTACCTCTCCGTGGGAATAACCACTTTCACAACAGCCCTGGACAATATCTGCGACAAATCAGCAATAACAACATCAGAGGGTGTATTCAGGTAAAAAACGACTTTGAGATAGTAAAAAATGAGATAAAATGAAAAGACAAAAGAAAATAGAATGCCCTACAACTTATTTTGAGATAAAACTTAACCTAAAAGTAATGACGGGGTTGCCGCCATTGTATTACCTTGTCGAACTCATCCTTGTTCGGATCATCACCTTCAGGGTAAGGGGTGCCAATCGGCGGTATCTACAATTATTTAGCAAGCTCTGGTTAATACATTTTCAAGTTAAACATGATAAAAAATGAAGAATTCAGAAAAATTGTCAGAAATTTTAAACAAGATAAATATTTTTTTTTGCAAAGAAGTTTCTTAAAGATATTTTAAAAGCTTCTTTGTGTTTTTTTAACTAGCAAGCAGTTATTCCCAAATATTATTTTTTGCTTGATAATAATTAGAGCATGATGCACCTTGTCTCTGTCTTGGTGACTAGGCTGGGCATTGAAGGGAAGACCTGATGGAGGGGGCGGCATGGTCAATTTTTCCAGACTGGGTGGAATGTAGATTGGATACGAAGGAATCGGCACAGACTTTCCCCAGCCAAGCTTCATCTCGTAGTCCATGATCATTTTGCCTGCATGAATACAGATCAAAAATCAAGTACAACTTGCAGACTGAGCAATTTACCTCCCAAGTTTTTGAGGGCTCTCTCGCCATCCTTTCTGTTCATGTAGGCGACAAACCCGCAATTTCTACCCCGCGCCTTCTCCTCGTCTGATCGAGGCCACATTATTTTAATGCTCGCTAAAGGACCATATTTTCCGAAGATTTCCATCAGCTGCTGCTCACTTATTTTAGGATTTAAATTGCCGAGGTACAAATTTGTCGTATTGGGATCAGTCTCTCCTTTTGCCATGGCTAGAGATGCAGACGATTCTTCACTGTACTTGCTCGGGTGGCCGGTTATGACTTGTTTGTACTTGTGTCTTTCCTCCCGCTCTTCTTGAATCCTAAAATTTGTTTCGAATTAGAGCTTCTTGCAAGAGTATGGAAAAATAAAATTGTTTTACATTTTTAGTTCCTCCTTGAAAAGCTCTAGGTTGCTCTTCTTTTTCTCTTTTTCTTTCTTTTTGCCGGGCTTATCTGGTTTGTAGTCATGTCGACTGGAAGAGCTACTACCACCGCTGCTGTGGTGATGCTTTTCTGGATGTTCAGAGAGTCTCGAAGTTGGCTTGTACAATTTTCCTCGCTCTCGAGTGTCTTCCTCTGCATAAATTTATTAGAAAAACTTCTCATTAATGATATTTTAGCTCTTACGTCTTCGTCCTGCGTCATAAGTTCCAGCTTTGACCCACACTTTGCTGGATTTTGCAGGGGCTTCTTGGAAAGTCTCGACAAATTCTTGAAAGACTTGGGCTGCAGCCTCCTGCTGTTCTCGCTTCTTCAGCTCCTCCTGCTCCTTCTTGGACAGCGTTCGCTTGCCCATGTTTCCAATCGAGAACGCTTTCAGCTTGTTTTCCGAGATTTTCTATAACAAAAGAAAAACGTTTTTTTTTACTTTGGTACATAATTCTAAAACGTGTAAAATTGCGACAAATTTTACAAAATTAAATATTATACCTTGGCAAAATTATGCGCCATGCTTGAGACGAGGGGGACTGTCGAATAAAATGCAAAGTCCCAAGCACGAACAGTTAAAATAGCAAAACAATGGGTCACATCCTTTCCGAGCGCGTCGTCAAGAGCCCCTGAGACGGGAACGCACACCAACGAAGTCTCTCAATTTGGAAGCAACCAAATTCTGAAAAATAAGACAATCAGAACAAATCTGAGCTAAAATTTAGTTTGCCTATTTACTTTGCACTGCAGAGAAGGGCGAGAAACAAAAGGGAAAGCCAATATACACTGAAAACGAAACTAAAAACACGCCGCAAATTGATTTCCACCTCGAACCTCGATTCGAGTCGGCCAAGTTGTGATTTGCAAACGATTGTGCTGCGCTCTTTTGAGAAAGTCAGGGAACTTCGCGAATTACCGGCGGCCCGGCTGACACGCCCCTTTTTTGGCGACTCACGTGGAGTCACAACAAAAGTTAAAATCTGAATTTTTGTTGTATATATTTTTTTTTACTTAAACTCAAAATCTGACTAAATTTTCTGCAAAGTTTTTAATCATGGATGATAGGAGCAGAACTGACAACGTTGAGTTTAACGATGTGCAACTCAAATTCATCGAAATTATGCGCCACGATCTTCGCACTGTCGAGGAACGAAATAATTTTCTCCTCTGGATTGCAGATTTTAATGTCAATTCGTGTAAATCAGGTAATATTTAAAAGAGCAATCATGTTGTTTATAATTCGTTCTAATTATTTACGCGTCTATCAATTTTCATCTTCATAATAATACCTTCAAAAAATATATTAAAAAAAATTTTGATAATTTATATTTTTCATGTTTTTCATTTCAAAATTTTTATTTTTTATTTTTAGGACAAACGGACATTCGCAAACCGGAAATAGACAGCAGGCTTGATGAAATTGTCAAGGATATAAGAAAAAGGGTGCCGGAATTTTCAACTTTTCCTTCGGAAAAAATCGTAGTTCCAACAACTGGAGATGTAATTTTATTTAATTATATTTTTCTTGAATACAATGATTCAATTTTTTGATCATCTTTAAGAATAGTGACTGCCAACCAGAAACCACTGTGCACGTTGACGGTTTTCTGTACAAGGATGCTGACATTGATGTGCTTGCGGAGGAGGGAGAGTTGCAAAGAGATTACTGTCTCGATTGCGGGAGCAGAAACGTTGCACCTCTGAGTAATATTTAAAATTAAATTTATTGCGTACTTATGAGATTTTTTTTTAAATTATTAACAGCTTTTATTTCTCATTCGATGTCTCGAGAAAAGCTTGATTTTGTTTTCAATGTGATGCTTCCTCCGAATTTTGTCAAAAAGATTGTTGGCTCAGAAAACTCTTTATGCCCTTGGTAATTATCATTTTCTTTCCAACTTAAGTGTTTCATAATATTTCCTATAGTTTGCTTGATGTGGGGTCTCGACACGGCGGAACTTTGTACTCGGTATGTTTCTAATTAATCAAAATGCACAACTTTTATATTTTTATATCAAGGCCTACCTCCATAGTGATATCGAGAAGATAGTCGGTGTGGAAATGAACAAAGATTTCTGTAGTTTACAACGAGAAATTTGCAAGAAACATAGAATGCAGGTATAATAAAAATATTTTGTAATATCTTTGATCATGCTGTAAAATTATTAGGACCGCGTAACAATTGTTGAGGATGACATTTCAAATCAAAAGGAAAAGGTGAAGGAGGCCAAACTTATTTTCCTCAACAATCCGTTTGAGTTTTTCCTCAGCATTGACGAACAGAAGCAAATATGGTTGTTTTTGAAAGAAAATATAACTGCTGGAACAACTTTAATTTGCGTTCCAGATTTGGAGACCACATTTGACAAATTAGAGGTATTTTTTTTTAATGTATTGCATTTTGAGATATAGTATTTTATTCTCACGGTATTACAGATGAAAAGCGAGCTTCATTCCTGGGTTAAAAAGCTGGAGCCGCATAATTCACTTGCGGCATGTGGAGCTGATGAGGATTTTGCAGATTTGCACATGTATCGAGTTTTGTGAAATAAGTTAATAAAAATCTTATTTTTTCTTTAAAAAAAGGCAAAATTATTCAACAAAAATAAAATTATATTCAAAAGCTGTTCACAATTTGAGCGAGGAAAAGCTTAAATTAACATTAAATAATATCATGGCTGAGAAAAAGCACCTCAAAGCATTCTGCTAGTTAATCCATTTCTCCCTCGGAATCCGTGAGAGCCCAAATCTCGGCTTCGTCTGATCTTTTCTGAAGTTCGGAGAGTCCAGTGAGGTCCTCCAAAAAGCCGGGAGAGTTGAACACTTGTAAGAGGAACTCGAAGCCTTTCTCTTTGTATTCGCTCAGAATCTATTAATTAGTTTGAAAAACAATTTACTGAATAGTTTCAATAAATATATTTTACCAAAGGAGAGCAGGCAGCACACTGGGGAAAAGCTCGAGTAGCAGGCAGAATGATCTGAAACTGAGCTAAATAACCTCTTATAGAATGGGGTAACAATCCGAGTGGGCTTCCAGACTCCATAGCGGATTGCTCTGGATCACAACTGGCAGGAGCAGCACCCCTAAAAATTACACCGTTCAATAATTTGAATAATTCATTAATCACAAGTCTTACTTAAGGGGATGCTGCAATACTGAAACCAAAAGCTCGACAGCTAGAGCGGCAGCAATTTGAGACACACCGGGGCGAACAACTGTGCATTGCTGATCCAGAGAGCGTTGAGACAAACTCTGCAAAAGTTAAAAAAATACTAAATAAAAATCAAAAGCAACTTTTAATGAGCCTTACATTTCTTGGAGCAACAACATCATTGCAAAAATAGCAACCAAGTAGGTGGCCAGGAATGCTTTTCTCCTTGGAAGGTGAAGAAGTTGAAGACGAAGCCTCCGGTACCTCAGAATTTTCAGGGAGAACTCCATGTCTCATGACCAGGAATGAATCAAAGCCCAGCGCGGCATTAATGACCAACTGAAATTCAATTGAATCAACTTATGAATAAATATATTGAATTTAATTGTACTTTATTGTGGTATTTAGAAAGCATGGTAGGCAGCCAGCGGCTTTCCCTGCTGTCAGTGAGGAGGAAAATAGCATCATGGTTTGCAATCAATTCGTCTACACGCTGAACATCCTTTTCAACTTCATCTTGTTGAGATTCGGTGATGGAATGGCCTGGCATTGGAATGCTGAGTTGAACCCCTTCCGCATCCTGGATTTTAAAATCTTTGGTAAAAGCAAAAAGGACAAAGGTTTGGAGTTTACCATGCCAGGAAAGATTTCAAAGAGAGCCTCAGCTGCAGCCTTTGCTTTCGGAACTCCCGCACCCACGCAGTGTCGGTGAAGGAATAAAGTCTGACGCACTGGGTTCGAGTAACTCACTCTGCCAGAATCAAGGAATGTAATTTTGCGAACACCCCATCCCTTTAAAATGAGAAATTTCCTGAAATCATGGACAGTTCTTTAAATCCATAACACAAACCATTAGAACTCTAGCGACGGCACATCCCAAAGTTCCAGCGCCAAGCAGCAAGCACCGGCTGTTCTTGATTAGATCCAGGTCGATTTGAGGCAAAAGTCTCCATTTCATTAACTTGAGGTTCAAATCAACAGCACATTCTGCCAATCTGTAAACCCAAATTAGAATATTCTTCCCTTTTTTAAATATTCTTCCAAACTTTTTAGGATCCATAGAACTGCTTAAATTTGCAAGACGAGGGCCCAATTTAGCTCTTTCATTCCTTTCCCAGCCGACCCACTGAGTTTCGACCTCTTCTGCGTCACTTTTGATTTGCACCTCCAAAATAACACTGTTGTTTGAATTTGTCTTTGCTTCAGCTCGAGAGAGTCGGAGACAGAGAACATCAATTTTTACTCCATCCCGCAGCAATTCAGGCCTAAGATTTTTAATTTTTATATTGTGAAACTTGCATTATTTGATAGGTTACCATTTGAGAGCTGCAACTTTCAAAAGCGTCCTCAAAGGCCACCCTGGACAGTCTGCCAGATTGCTGGGGTCAACAAAACCTAAGAAAACCTTGCAGCCTGAAGATTTGAGATCTCCGTATGCTTCGAATGGCACAACCTCTAGAGAGTCATCGTTGTTCACTTTCACAGTAAAATGTTGACCACTCGTTTGTGCTAAGTAGTTCAAGCGAGCAATCTGGAATGTTTAATTATAAATTTTAGTTTTACTAGAATTTTTAAAATTCTAAATGCAAAAACCTGCTCTCCTGAGAAAACATCAGTAATTGGTGTTAGATCTTTTGTTATTTGTGCTGTCGGGCCTTTTGGTGCAATGAAAGCAAACCAGTAGTAGAAGTGGTACTTTTTCAAATCCTACAAGAAAAAAATTAATTTTTAAGTTTTTACTTTAAGGAAACTCACAGCAAAAGATATGAGCACAAATTTGCTGAGGGCAACGTTTGGCTCACTGTCGTTACTCCAGTTTGCTTCCACCGCTTGTCCGTGCTTTTTAATTATTTCCATTTTGTCACACTCCTTGAACGACTCGATGGTGTTGAAATTAATTAGCACCCCCTGCATGGCATGCTTCTGTGGCGGATTCGATTCAGGGTTCCTACAAATTTAAATGTGAAATCAACAAATTATATAACTCCAGTAAAAATAATTATACGAATTGAATGCTGTGACGTCAACACAAAATGAGCCATCAGAGTCGAGACTGCTGAAGGAGCCCCAAATGTTTCTTTCCTTCTCCTCAAGTCGGTCTTCATCAAGTTTGATTTGGTTCAGCTTGTGCCAGAAACTCGGATCGACAAGTGATGAAAACGTCGAGAATTGCAACATTTTATTCTCCGTCATGGTTCTGAAAAGAGATTTGAACCTGATAATAAAAATGAAGCAAAGGAATTAAAATTTTGGCACCTGAATGTCAAAATGAAATTTTCTCGTTTAAGCTGAAGAAACTAAAAATACTTTATTCCTGCTTTTAAGAGCAACAAAGTAATTAATTTTCACTTGCCTTAGTCTGGCAAGCGAGGAAGCAAGTTCGCTGCTTGAGCTTGAAGTTGTTTGCAAAATTACCAGCTGGGCGGCTGATCAGTGTCGACCAATGAGAGCAATTCTTGGCCTTATAAAGGGGCGCGGCACATCCAATGAAAATAATCTAAATTTTAAGAAAATACTTGAGTAGTTTAGACCTTGAGTTTAGATTTACTTTGGAGTTCTAGTTTAAATTTGGTGTCATTATTAATATCGATTGAAATGTAAATGATTAATTTGCACTTAAAAATTCATCACATATTACGGTAGAAAAATAATACAATTTTTTTGCAAACTGCAATGATTTGTATGAGAAGTTCAAATAATACGTTAAATTAATTATTTTTAATTATTCCAGTTTAATTAATAACAATTAAAAAAACACTTCGATTTCAATTTTAATGGTCATTCCTAGTGCTTCCTGGGCACTCTTGTGCGAGATCATCCTCATCTTCGTACTGCGTGCCACACCAAATGCAATACAAATACGTTCGCCTTAGATAAATGGTTAAAATTTCCAGTTGATCTTCAGGCTATTGAAGAAATTGAAATGACAATCAAATAAAAGAACTTCTATTAATGAAAATATTACCTCAAGCTGCTCTTCTTCCTCCTCCACCACTTCCTCCTTCTTTTCCTCTGCTTCATCCTCTTCAGTTTCTTCTTCCACTTTCGGCTCTTCCTTCTTTTCTCTCCAAAACCACGGATAGGGTGGACTCTCGATATTCTATCAGAAAAATAGTACATTAAATCTAATCAAACTGTTATAGAATGAAAATAGTTACGTTTTTTGTGTCTAAATTTTCACAAGTAATTTGACTAAGTTTGAGATCTCTGACAGTGGCTTTTGACGAAAATTTGGAGCTCAATTGGCTTCTGTAGTCGGACAGCTTTTCAAGTCTGTTGGCCCTAATTTTCATTTTGCGCACTTCCACTTCCTGCAGGGCCGCTTCTCGGCCAAGTCCTTGACGATCTGTCTTCAAGACAACCCGAACCGGCTCAATCCGTCCACTCGAACTATCCTTTCCGATCGAGCTTCCTATAAATATATATTTTTTTCAGCAAATATTCTAAATAAATATTTGTTTAAAATACCTGGTTTGTATCCCATCTTTTGCAGCATTGCAAATCCCTTGTTTTCCAGACCGATTGGCTTTTCAAGACCCTCCTCTCGTCGCTCAGCTTCCAGTCGTCCTCGTTTTGGATTGTTCATTTGATTCTCATAATTTTTATCAGCTCTTCTCTTCTCGATAATGTGACTCCTTTGAACCGAGTGCTTGTGAACAAGGCCTGGTCGCACGTCATTTTTGGCACTGCAAAGTGAATCATATTAAAAAATTTGAATATTATCAAGTTTAAACAAACATTGAAGTTTTTCATTACATTATACATATTTTGACTAAAAATCCGTACTTACCATGCATTCAAGATAGCGTCAGACATGTAGTCATCATCTTCGTCTGACATTTTCGAATAAAGTTTCGTCTGCGGAGCCTGAATCAAGGTTTAAAATGACAAGAAATTGAATTTTTTTTTTCTGTGTGTTTCTCCAATTTGTTTTGTTTTGTAAATTTGTAGCTCCAGACACGCCCTTCTTTGGCTTCTGGGCATGCGTGAAATCGGTCAGAATTTTATATGGCGCCAAGATGATCGTTTTTATGGGTTTCGGTATAATTGAGTATAAAAAATGATAAATAATTAATATTATGAATCACACGATTATTAAACCTCGCTATAGCTAAGTGCTTAATTTAAGTTTAATTAAATGAACTAAATTAAATAATTTAATTAAAAATTATTATTGTTAAATTTATAACAATTTTATTTTATTTCAGGCAATATCTAAAGCTTCAAACGTATTATAAAGAATAATAATTATAATAATTTTTTAAGAAAACCTACAAACACAAATTAAGAGAATGCAGCCACGAACGCTTAAATATTTTTAATTTAGAAGCATTTTAATTTGAAGGAAAATTTTTGAATAAAATAATTCTTGGTTTATAACAGAGTATACACAATAATTACTTATTAATTTTATTTTGATGATATACACATTCCTAAATTGTGCACAAAAGATCTCTCCTCGAACTTAAGAACATTTTTATCATAAGCAAAGAAATAATTAATACTTCATTTTCATAATTCCTGATGGGAAAAGAGAATAATAAATAAAGCTTTAAGTTATTTGAAGACTAATTATTATACACACTAATTGTTTCAGTATACATTTTTTAAAGTTAGTTTGTGCTCGAGAGATATAATAGTCACATCACATTCACATAATCTTTATTTCCAACCGAAAAAAAACTATACAAATAACACTTGTTGGATTTTGAGTATGAAACGGGTGCGGCCGCCGTATGTATGCAAATCTTTTATTTGGCTTTGCAGCTTTATAGCAGCGCGGCTGCGGTAGCGGCGGCCAGGGAAAAAGAGACCAAGCGAGAGAGAGAAAGAGGAAAGGATTTATGAAAGTTAAACACTGGCTTGGCAGATAGCAGCCTCACATAAAGTATAAAGTGCAACCACATGAAATAAGAGCTCTCTGCTGCTACACATTTTTCTTTTATCCGTCCACAAACACACACATAGACAAATGAGTTTTTCTTTATTATACAACAAGCAACAACTAATAGTAATTACACATTTTATTTTGTTCAAAGAGCTATTTTCTCTCATAATGTTTTAATTTTAAGCCAGTTTAATTTTTTTTGCAAGAAATTTTTAATTTTTATTAATTAACTGCCTCTGGCTTGCAAAGGGTTGATTAGAGGAAAAGCCCAATGAAATAAAAAATTTGTCCAGAACGCAAAAAATTTTATGCAAAACTCAACAATCAGAACAATTTTGTTTGTTGACAAGCATTCTGATTAGGTACAACAATCAAAGTACGTTTCATCGCGGGAACCAAATCTTTGGTGTCATTGTTTCTATGCGCGAACTTTGATATATCAAACATTTAATAAAATTTTTATGAAAAAATTACATTAATAACAAAAATTTAATATTAGACCAGATTTATTTTAAAGATTTGAAAGTACATAATATGTAATTTTACATTTATAAAATTTTAAATGCTGGATCTTTTCCTCCTAAAGCAGTTTATTTATGAAAAACTTGCCCCAATTCTCCTCATCAATCTCCAGCCTTTGCATACCTTAATTTTTCTAACTAATGCACCATAAAACTGGACGAAACTGCTTTAATCTTCTCGCTTATGTTTTTGTCATTCCGGCCAAAATTTACAAGTAATATCACATTTAGAAAGTCAGCAATCTTAACAATTAGGCCAGTAACAAACGGAGCGCTGCAGTACAAAATTTTGATTCGGCTCGCTGCTTGACCTCTAGACCGTGTTGGCCGCACAAACCGCCACTAGCACCAAAAGGGTCGTCCCTGCCAGGGTCGTGTGTCCGGCGGCGGCGGCTGCGAACACCTCCTCCAGCAAAGAGCCCTCGGTGTTGCCCTCGTCGAGGCTCCTCGGCTCGTCCTGGATGTTTTCGTCGACGCTGGGCGGCGGTTTGGGCACGACGACCACCGTTTTTGAGTGGCTGTTTGCCCACGAGCGCTTTGTGCTGTAAAAACTGGCGCCGCGAGTCACGTTCAGCTGCACCATCCCTTCGGCCATGCCGCGGGGGCTGCGCACCACAAACAGGTACTCGCCAGCGTGCTCCAGGTACACGCCCGGGATGGTCAGCGCGGCTCGCCGGCAGTGTGCCGAATCTCCCTCCTGAAATTTGAATAATATGAACATTATTGTTTAAAATTATTTATATTTTTTTATTTTCGCTATTTAATCAAATAATTTGTGCTCCTGAATCCAAAAAATTTGATTTCAAATGCTCATTTTCAATCAATTTGTTCAAAATTTAATGCTGTGCACTATTCAAAATCTTTTTCAGATTCATTATTTTTCATGGACGCTTTGAAAAATACAATTATTTTAAGTTTCATTTCATCTTCCGACGAGAAAAGAGCTCATGAAGAGCAACCCGCAACCAAAACTAGTAGAGCAGGATTTTCTGTATCATGCATGATCGACTTCTTATCATCGATAAAAAAAAATGGCTTTTTGTGTGTCTGCTCCAAATATTTAATTAGTTTTGCAACTTCCAGCATGCATGGAATTCGCCTAAAATTTTAATCACCCGATTTACAATCGAGCAAAATTCCATACACGAAAGCAGCACGAAAGTTTCTATATTTTGGAACTAGCCGCACGCACGCGAAACACTGGAAATGATCATTTCAAACTCGACCGCAAAACCGCGGAACCGTCGACACAGAGAGCGGCCGAAATTCAGTTTTAATCAAATCACAGACCCTCTGCTCTCCGTATTCAAACACAAAAAGTAACCAAAGCGGTCCTGGTGTGCTGACAGCGAGATTTGTGTGTTTTCATTTTCAGCCTTGTTTGCAAATCAAGTTGCGGCCGCGGCGGGTCGTGCTGAATTGCCATTGATTTATCTCTTCCCACTTGCAGACACACGCGATTAAAACAATCAGCGCGTTCCATTGTTGTGCGCCACTGTGTACATCCAGCAATTAGAGAGTGGCGTGCACGCTTATTATTTGATTACAATGCCTCTTCAATCTGCATGCATCTGAAGCAGCTCATTAAATTATATCCAGCGCAGCAGCCGGATTTGCACGCCGGACCGAGTGATTGAGTTCATTAATTAGGCCGCTAATTAACATCAAGGGGCTTCCTGATTTATGAGCGCAATTACGCCGTCGATGCAGCCACACACCGAGAGCGCTCCCGGGAATGAGATTTGCCAGAGAGCAGCTCATTAAAAAATTGCGACATCACGGTTCCCATCTCTGCAGGCAGGGGACACACCCAAGGTAATTGGATTTGCTTTTTAATGGCACTGAGAGTCGTTTAGTGCACGCGGTCATTTTGCGGTCGGCTCAACTGATATTTTGTAATGTGATTTTCTCCAAATGCTAAATTGAGGGAATTATTTTGGGGGGAAAAATTAATTAAAAATTCATGGTAGGCAACCTGCTCAACATCTGAGTCGGCCAAGTTGCCTACCATTGAATTGTATTAATTATTTATTAAGTTTCTTATAAGTTAGTCAAACTAATAGAATTTCTTTATATTAATTTTTGTTTATAAGCTTTAAAATGACTCATAATTTTTCTGAGGCCAAATAACATTCTATCTTTCATTAAGAAAAAAAAATGTAAAAATATAAAAACAGAGTTGAAAATTAACGAAGGTCCCAGAAAAATGTCAATGTGGTACATTCATGAATCTTATCTTTGGGTGGCCCTAGTATCACTGCACATAATGCAGTTTGGGTGCTCCGATACGCTGTCTCTCTTTAGCGATTATTGCATGTACACTTGTGTGTGCGAGCAAGGATTCCATTAAGGGTGTTGCACGACAAACACAACCTGGCCCGCAGATAATATCGGATTATCTCGACCCGTGCTATTGTCATGTGCAGCTAATTTAGAGCCAGGACAATGGTGCGACGCGCCCGTCTGTTTGCAGCGAGATTATTAATTAATTTGCGAAGCTGCGAGTGGAAGGACAATGTTATAACAAGGAGCTCACCGTGACGTTCTGGGCGATGTAGCCGCCGCCTTCCTGGCCAGGTCGCAGGGCCACGGTCGGGGTTAACCAGAAAGCGTGCGTGGCCTCAGGGTTGGCGCAGAACTCGACCGAAAGTGACAACTGGCTTCCGCCCACGGCTGTCAGGTTCCTCCTAATTGGATACACCACTGGCTGACCTGGAACAAAAGACAAAAGACATATTTTATATTTTATATTTTATCTAATTAAAAATAAAAAAAGGAATTAATTTAAAATTGCTGATACTTATGCTAATATAATTTTTATCTTATTTCATCTGTATTCTTTTTTCTTAAATCTAATGATAGTATTTCACTATCATGTCTCATTTTCTATGCTGTTTTTTTATAAATATCTCTTCAGTACAAGAGACTTCAGAATTCAAAATGAATTAAAAGTTACATTTTTATTTTATCTTTGCAAGTTAACTTTTCATTTTACATATTTGGAGTTTTTTTTTTCTTTTCGAATGGAAGCTATAGGGGCAGCAAATTTGCATAATTATGATTCCGCATCACAGAGAGTTTGATTTTCATCAACGCGGCACCTGATAAAGCGCAAACGGGCACACAGCACACGTCCCCGCATAAAGCAATCTGCTAATTATTATTTTAAAACTCGGCGCGAGAGTACAAAACAATCGCCCGCATATATTCGGAAACGCACTCACGCAATTACAGTATCGCCGGCGGCTGATAAAAGAGCGAACTGACACAAAATGAAGGGTGCACACAATGGACGTTCCAAACACAACAATGCCGTCTATTTACAGTGGTGTAGAAATTCAGATAGAGGGTAAATATTATTATTATTGTTATTGCGAAAGCGCTCGCGGTCGGCGATAAAAATATAGCGTGGTGGGAATCGCCACCATCGTCGACAAACGTTATCTGCACAGTGAACAGGACAGGGGCCCTTCGCATTAGAATAATTAGACACATGTGGGTCATCGGACGTGGCCGATGCGACACTTTTGTTCGGCCTGCGTGTTTGCTGGAAATTCAATAACCAGCACCCCCGTTTTTTCCTCGCATCAATTACTGCCACCGTTTTAAACCACCCTATCTTGATTAACCCTAAATCATGTAATTACATTTCCTCCGGCGTTGTCTCGCGGCTGCGCCTAAATCGGCCCCACCAGTCCGACTGTCAGCCCAGGTGATTGATTGCCCCTCATAGCAAATATCGCCCGAAATGATCAATCCTGCCTGCACACGGCCCCTCTCGCACTCTCCACCTTGTATGGTATGTATTTCCAATGGGCTTTTTTCAACGAGGGATGAGCCGGAATGCGGGGAATCGACGACCAGTTTTTTTCGCTCTTGTCGGCAGGTCTGATCTCTCGAGCGGGACAGATTTTTTTTTTGTCTCCGACGATATTATTGGATTTTTCGATGGGCACATAACTCACGGCAGTTTCATTCGAATTTTTTTTACATACCAGGGTAATAATAATAATAATAATGTGTCCCAAACTGAATAAAATAAGCATCAAAATCGATCTGGAGTCGAGTAAAGAGCAATTTCAAATCTACAACTGTGATACATGAAAGCGTGGAGAGCCAGAGGACATACTCAAAGCGACATGAATTTTATTTTGACATGATAATGGTTTCTAATTTTTATTCCAACAAGCAAAACAGTTTCAAGCGGGTTTGAAAACTAATATAACACTTAAAATAGGTAAAACTGAATTGCATCATCTTAAAAAATCATTCTCATTGAGATAAAAAATTGTATTCATTATTTCCAATTTTTTTTTTTTTTTTTTTTTTTTTTTTATATCAAAAGAGTTAATTACATTGATTTTTTACTAAATTTTGGCACTATGGGTTAAAAAAGTTTAAAAAATTCTGTGGATATTTTGATAAAAATTTTAGCTCTAACACACAAAAAACTTTTTTTAATCTTTTTTATTTAATGAACAATCAAATTCCCTCACATTTATTAAAACCAGGGAGAAATTCCTGTTTCTTTTCAATTAAACAATTACAAATGTTCACTCACCTGTGACAACGAGTTCAATGTCTGGGGGCGGAGTGAGCATAGCTTTCCGCTCAGCCACCAAGGGGTCTGGTTTGGCAGGGGCGACGCATCTGTAGGCGCCCGCCTCTTGATAAAGAACGCTGTCCAGCCGCAGCTGGGGTCCGGTTCCGACAGCCTCCAGTCTGTTGCCACTCAATCGACCCCAGCAGTTGGGCCCAGTTGTGCTGACCCCGCTGTCGCCACAATCCAAGGTGACCCCGCCGCCGAGGGCTACTTCCACCTGTCGTGGCGGCTGCTTGGTGAAAACTTCCTCGTCTAAAAAGAAATTAGAAAAATTTGAATAATTATTATTACCAACATTATTATGAGAAGTTTCTTGGAGAAGAAAATCAGAAACTGCAGGTTAAAAAAATTTTATTTGTTTTCCAAGCAGTGGTTTTCTTGTTAGTTTTTAAATCCACGTTGAATTTCTTTTTAAAAAAAATTACTTCTTTTCGGCAAATAATGAATTACCCTGGTGGGGCTTATTTTATGATGATTAATCATTGTTATTTTTTTTAATGTTGTTTATTTAAATGCTGAAAGAAAAAAATATGATTGAATTATACTTATTTTTAGATATTCACCGAAAATACTTTTTTGGACAAAATGAAAAAAAAAATACGATGCTCTCAATAATTATTTGATCAATACTAAATTTCCAAAAAGTTGGAACTCTGACGTAAGAGGAAACGACTGTTGATTTGCGACCAAGTTTATTATTCGCCGCTCCGCCGAGAGCTCAACTCGAATGTTTTTGACTGAATTATGATAAAAAGTTTAAATCAAAAATAAAATGGAGCGCGGAATTGGAAGGGAGGATTGTGTGTTTGAATACACAAGCAGCAGCGATGGAAAAGTTTTCGCCGCTCGCAACTTTCTTTCGCGCGAAAGGGGTTTATTCATTCCTGCCGCTTTTTATCCCACTCGACGCGGCACTGAGTGCAAAAATGTCGTAATTATTATTCATGGAGGAGCGTCTTTTTATTAGGATGTTAAAAGAGTTGAGCAAACAAGCAAGAGACCTGGAAGGATATTTCTGTTGCATCTCTCGCGAAATATCGCCGTCGGCTTTGCACTGCAAGATGAAAAGTAAACACTGCGAACAAAAGAAAGAGCAATTTCGAAAAAAAGAGAGAAGCTGCACGTGCAAAATGCGATTTGCTTCGTTTTTATTCAAGCTCTAATTCCTGAAAGTTGTGATTGCGATGCAACCAGCGCTGCACGCGCCACTAACTGGTTGCAAAACTCCACCGTTTTTTCCACCGGTAAAATATAAATATCTCCGTTTTCAGAAGCAAACAATGCGAGCGGACTGATTACAAGCTCTGTAATTTTCCTCCGACGCAAATACAACAATAATAAAACAAAAACATAAACCCGCAGTTGTTCTACTCGAACTTCAAACAGGGAAAATTCACCTTCAGTGAGGCGTTATGAATTATTTTCTCATAAAGACGGGCGGCAAAATTGCTCCGTCTCGTTTTAATTACGTACAGCGAAACACATGCAAAACAGGCAGGCCATAAATTAGCCTCGCTGCCGGCGTGTGCTCGCACGTTTGTTCGGCACAGCAATAATAATTATTGTTATTGCCCGAAAGCGGTGCTGCAGTTGATGTATGGAGCGGAATCATGCGAAAGAAAATCACGAGTTGGCTGCTGCTCTTATCGAAAGAGCAGGCCAAGTTTATGTATGCATGGGCATTATATTACAACGGCTCACTGCATGCAAGAGGGTATTATGCTGCGCTCGTATATTACGAGCAGGTCTCTGCTCTGCTCGCGCATATACGTGACGGCGTTGAAGATTCCTCATAAATTCATGTCTCGACGAAAGTCTTGATCTTCAAGTCTGCCGGTGAAATATACATATATTGCGCCTTAATCTGGCTGCAGAAACATTAATCATTTTAATCTGAATTAAAAAGCAGCATAATTTTTAGGATAACGCTGAGTAAAATTTATCTTCTTCAAATTCTTTTGGAACAGCTAATTTACTTTCTTTTTGCTGAAAATTGCTTTTTTATTTTCAAAAGCTATGAGAATCTGGTAAATTAAAAAGTAGACGTTTTCAGTAATTTCTTTTTCATATTCAAGCTTTTTAAATTTTCTTTGCCTGATGGAAGGGAAGTGTCAAATCATTCAAAATCATTAACAATAATAAAAATTTACTTTTAATTTGAGAAAGGCACTATAATAATATCAGTTTTGTATTTTAACAGACAGAGTTTATTTTAGTAGTTACTGAAAATCGAAGAAAAACTTCTTTTTGCTTCTGTAAAGCTTAAAATTTAAATTTAAGCGTTATAGAAGCAAGAAGAAGTTTGTCTGATGTTTTTCAGTAACTAATCTAACTGGACTAAATTGTTATTGATCATACGCTGGCTATGAACGTTTTTGGTTTCTTTAATCTTCGTGAATTTTCAGTAACAAACAAACAAAATACGCTTAATTTTAAATTAAAAATTAAATTTATTATGAATTTTGGATGAATAAAATACCTTATGCAGCATCATTTACTCTGTTAAAAATATATATTTTTTTTTCCAAAACAGGTCTGTTTTGAATTATTTATGCCATCATATTACTTTTTATTTTCAAAATGTAAGTGCAAATTCCAATTATGAAAAAAGTCCATAATTATATGCGTCAAAGTCTCAAAAATTGTTTTGTTTTGTGTGTGTGAAAAATTACAAGAAAAGTTTCTAGTCTCGCATATTTTGCATCAGAACAAATCAATAGGCAAAGATCCATTGCATTAATAAGTTTTGAAGGTACTTAAAAATTCAATTAATATTATTTCATTTTGCCAGTGTAATTAAAATTAATAGCACACAAATTACTTTAATTTCAACCCTAAGGTCAACATCATTAAAAAGGAACAGCCTTCCACTATTCGTTTGCAGTGCAAATAATGAAATCCGTATATATGTATAACGAGGAGTCCGTGGCAATTTACATGATCACGCAACGAACGCGGCACCCTGTCGAGCAGACACGGTGTGTAATTTGCGTCATGATAGCATTCTGGTGGGTGGGTGGGCTCGTGTAATGAAGATACAGCAATCAATGTCAGCAGCACCCCGGCCCGATCAGTGTCAATTAGTGTCGCTCAAGAGAGCTAACAGGTAGAACACGCGGAGAACTAATGGCGCCAATTTGCCGCACTTGATTCAAATCGAATATGCTGCGTCTCTGCGGCAAAAGGCCGCAGCGAAAGGGGCACATTATGCATGCGAAATGGGGCGTTGCTCCGAATAGGGGATTAATTACGCGCTCCTTCACGACGGCGAAATGCTGTTCCGCGCGACACGACACGCGACCTCTCTCAAATTCGTGTAATGCCTCGAGTGAACACGCACGGCCTGATTGAAATTGAAACTGAAGATAGAACACTGCATGACAAGAGGAGGAATTCGCAATAAAGGGATTAGACGAATTATGCCAAGTCAACTATGATATGGAACTAATAATAAGATCAAAACGAATCGTGCCTCAGGCAATGAATATGTCAGTTGGGAAATAATTTGTATAAGCTACGAATTTATTTGGGATTTAGTCGAGAAATTAAATACCTCAAAATATTGTAAGCTACTTTTTAATGGAAATTTGTGCGAAAATAGTGGCCATTGAGAACAGAATCAACGAAACATAAACTTCAAGTAATTAATTCTATTGACTAAATAGTTACAAAAATTACCATTTTTGCGTCTAAAACAATTTAAAATCTCATTGGAACTCAACTATTAAGTCAGCATATTATTTTAATTGGCTTTAACTGCAATTTATCCCAATTAATTAATTTAATCGAATTTATGTTGTTTTCAGGTTTTTTGTCACACAAAAACTCCCCATTTTCAGTAAAGTACAACAATGCTGGCAAAGCAGGGGATGTTCTTGAAAGTAGCAATTGAATTTGGAAATTAGTTTATACAAAATGTAGCAAATATTAATAAGACCATTCTAAAATTTTTATGATTTAATATATAATATTGCACTACGATCTGAGAAAATTCAGTAATCATTTTGGAATTTTGCAGCAAAATAGTTCATAAAAACATCAAAAGATCGTAATTTTGGAGGAAAAATTGTATAAATTTAAAGCTTTTTTAAAAAGTGGAAACTATTCTTGTAAAATGGTAAGATACAATGGACAATTTAAAAAAATGATCTTAACTTTAAGGTTTTTCAGCCTTTTAATATTTCCAATATTTCTTTTTTAGTAAATATCATAAATTTTATCTAATGAGATAAAACTTGATTTGAGAGAAAGAAGGGATACGATATTAAAATATGTATACTAAAAGACATACATGGGCAGAGCGCAATTTGCGCTCTGCGATCTGCGCTCGCGCTCTGCGCTCATGAGCGCGAGCGCAGAGCGCGATCGCACGATTTTCAAAATCGTGAGCGCGAGCGCAGAGCGCGAGCGCATTGGTCGCTGAGCGCAGCGCTCAATTGCGCTCATTTTGCGCTCAAACCAAAAGTAAAAATTCCCGAATTTGATCAAAAATTGTAATGAAAAACAGTGTTTTTATACCAAAAACTTCAAAACTGATCCCAATTTTGGTGATTTAACTTCAACTTTATCATTTCCAATTGCCGATGTATTTTTTGTTATATTAAAAAATTGTCTTAAAAGTCGCATTTTTCTTCGGATAAAAATATTTTTGAGCGCAACGCGTGAGCGCAAGACTTTTTAAAAATTTGAGCGCGAGCGCAGAGCGCGAGCGCAACATTTTCAAAATCTTGAGCGCGAGCGCAGAGCGCGAGCGCACTGTTGCCAGTGATCGCGAGCGCGAGCGCGAGCGCAAAATTGTTGAGCGCACCCATGTATGCTAAAAGAGATCTTTCTAGGTATTGAAAGAAAAACTTCATTTGAGAGATTTGGGCGTCAAATTAATTTTCGGGGAAGCTTTGGTGCGGACTAAAGTTTACTCTTGTTTGTCTCGGAAGTGGAAAGCGGGTGTCGGGAGCAGCTGCTCTCCAAATCGGTTCACTTGGTTGTTCATTGGACAAGTAAAATACTCACATCTCACGTTGATGAACAAGCCACTTGAAGCGTAAGTGCTCGAGTCGTATTCGGCAGAGCATTTGTACCAGCCGATGTGGTCTCGGCTGATTGAAGAAAAGTTTAGGTAGCCGTCCGGGCTCTGCTGCACGGGCGGATCTCCGTCGTCTGAAACAAGTCGAGCGCAAAACTGATTGATTCAAGTTGGGTGAAAGTGAGAGGAGGAGGAAATCTAATACCTAGACTGGTGAAAATAGTTTTTGGTGCAGTTCTAAAATTAATTTCAGCGGTGGATATTTGTTAATTTTATTTGCGCTGAATCAAAATTTATGCGACAATAATTGTATGAAAAATAATTAAAAATTACATTTTTTATGAAAATTTTATACTAAATTAACTTTTATAGGCAAATTTTTTGAGTATTTTGGGACTTTTAACATAATTTTCTTATAAATACAATTCAAATGAAAATCCTTTTAGAAAAAACTATATAATAAAGTTGAAGCAAATTAATTTTTTAATAAATAAACTATCGAATTTTGATCAAATTCTTTAAAAACTTGAGACCCCATTAATTTTAAATCTTCCTCAATGCAATGTTACTATAATTTCATTTATTTATTTATTTTTGTTGTTGAAAAGAAACTATTTTGAAATTATTATGAGTTTTTACTGGAAAAACGATTCTTTATTATTTCACCTTTCCACTAATAAACAAGAAAAGAGATGATATTCTATAAAATTCAAAATGGACGCGCAGCGTGAATTAATCATAAGTGGTGAGAAAAAAATCAGAGAGAAGTTCCGTTTTTCGCGCACCTCGATTTTTCGCAATCCTCGCCGTGTGCACCGAGGGATTAAAGTAATCCCTTTCTCGCCGCTCGTCGGCCGCTTTATCAACAAGTAGGGCGGGAGTTTTAAATATATTATAAGCCTCACGCGCGCACTTTCGCGCTTTTTTAGGCCGACACGAGCGTGGAAACCGCAAAAAAGCAGCCGCGGCGGCTGTGCACTCGCAGGCCCAATTTCACACCTCAACACCATGTTCAGCTATTAATAATGGACGCGCTACACACAAACTTGCCTCTCAACTTTTTGCACAGCCGCACTAGAGTGGCAAGAGTGACGGAAAAGCAGCACCGTTTTCCATTTACTCGCTCTGTGCTGTGACAAATTATTGTTGCCGCTGAAAGAGCGTTTAAGCTCTGCGTGCCATTAAATTGGCCGTGCAAAATAAATTTCTGCAGAACGAGGATTTTCACTGAAGAAAAGCATGACATGCTGTTTCCTTGAAAACGTTTTCTTGCGCATTAATTTGAATAAATCTTACTTTCAGGAAAATTGGCTGAGGTATGAAATTAATTTAAAAGCAGCATTATAAGACTGGTGAAAGATATCTTTTTTTCCAAGAAAAGGGAAACTTTTTAATATCAAATTTTAACAACAATAATGAAAAATCTAAAATTAAGTCATTTTCAAGCTAAGAAGTAATTTAAAGTGTATTTTCATTTAAACAGTTCCTTGGATTTTTTTAATTTAAATATTTCAATATTCGATTGAAGAAATAAGCGGTACAAGATTACTACAGAAAATGCAGGGGAATTACAAAAAATTATTAATAATTAGTGTTAATTAAGTCCAAACAAAATAATTAATTTTGTTATATACATATTGAATTTAGAACATGGAAAGCAACAAATACATAAAATTTAAATCTTAAAAAATAATCAATATGTACGTTTTGGTAAAAGATACATGAGATAGTTAATCAACATAATTATTATCCTAAGTTGCTGATAATTTTATTTCTGAATTTTGGGGCAAGTATAGAAAATTGAATAGAATGTTTTCACCTTTACCATTTTTTGTTAACTTGTATCTAATCAAATAGAATAAAATATTATTTGTCGTAGTTTTCAATTTTATCCAAATTAAAATCATCTTTTTCTCCCTCCTGAGAATATATTAAATCCGTGGAGCAATCTCACGAAAATCCTTGCCGACTCTTATATATTCATGAAGGTGCCGGGCGCTGTCACAGCACTTTAAACTCAAATCCCTCTCATCTCTTCCCATTGTTTTGTGGGGCCAAAAATTATTATTTTCCGCCGAGGTGGCGCTAATTTAAGGCGACTCGCCCGCCCGCATGCACCTGTTGACAGCGCGCTTTGCGAAACACAAAGGCGCGGCGGCAATTAATGAGCTCTGTTCTGCTCGCGGTTTTGCACTGCGAGCTACTTAATATTTTCTGCCACTTCGAGTTGGAGGAGAGGCAAACTTTGTATTTGTTCATCTGACTGAGAGCGAGCGAGCGAGCACCCTCGGCGAGAGAGAACTTTTATTGCAGGATTTGCGAAAAGAACAATGCTGGCGGATTAGGGTGGCGCAAAAGAAGATAAGGCGGCGAACGCGGATATGAATGGAAAAGAAGGAAAGAAGAATTCGCTGCGCCAAGAGCAATTTGTGATTAGGTCTTAACTGCGAGATGGAGGCGCTTATCGGCTAGACCCATCGAATTTCTACTTTTTACTTCAAGTTTCTTTTTCTTGGGGACAATTTGAATAACAATTAAACATACTGTCAATTGATCAATTAAGTTGTACAAGCCAAAGTTATTTCGGTTGGATTTCTTTAAAAGATGAAGGTTGAGTTTTAATAAATTTAATCTGATCCCTTTTGAGAAGAAAAGCTTTTGGAAATAAAATTGTCTAAATTGTCCACGTAAAAATATGCTTTATTGTAATTTTAAATTTCTATTATTTTTCGGCCACTTGGTTTGTCTTGAAATAGAGAAATTTAGCTCTTATTTTTCTTCCAAAATTTTTCCTCCATTTCATTTTGAATCAGAAAAGGTCAAAAAATTTAACTTGAAAAAATAACATTATATTGCAAATATATTTATTTACTGGGCTGATTTATGTAATCAAATTTATTTCATAATATTTTTAAATCAAATGCATCGATCTATGGAGAATTGAGCACATTTTGCGTCATTTTTTCATTTCAAATGTTGAGAATGTGCAAGAAGAATTTCTATAGATTTTCTTTCAATTTCACATTTTATCTTTAAATTAAATTAAAATAAAATTTCACACCCAATTCACCAAAGGATTTTGAACTCATCAAAGTAATAAAATTTTAATGCCCAAGCGAAGGTTTACATTTATAATAAAATTAAATAACGTTTAAATCTTTTTCAGAGAAATTGAAAACAGTTGAAACAAATAATCTCAAAACGAAAAAATAACAAGAATGATCAATAATTAATTTAACTTGCTAATAATTATTTTTTAATTAATAATATAATAAAATGAAAGAAACGTAAAATATAAATATATAATATTTTATATCAATAAATTTATTTAATTTTTAACTAAGTCATTACTATGCTACGTTCCATAATTTTTCCAACTGAAACTTCCGGCATGTATCAAAAGGATCATAGTAACACAAAACAAGTCACACTAACAATAAGAACTAGAATTTTGATTTAATAACGTGATTCAATAAAAGATTCAGCTCAAAGTTTGCTATGGACCAAAATATTTGTTTTAAAGATTTGAATGTCTGGAAGTGTGAGCCATTTACACACGACGTGCATTACGTTTTCTTTTTGATAGAAGTGCAATTTTTTTAAGAAATAAAAGCACTAATGGCGAAAGAGGAAGGCTGAAAGCTTCGACTCGCGGAGAAAGGGGATTTGGACGCGAGTAAAAAAGTACGTATAGTTGAGCCGAGCGTGTTGGTGCCGCCGGGCAGAACTGCTCAGTCATGAAAAGGATCAGGGGATCGTTTTGATGTGCCCCGCCGGCCGTGCCGCCGAGCATTGACGGACAATGGATTTATCCCGGGAAAAAACGGCGAACCGCTTGTTATCTCTCGTCAATGGGACTCTCGCGAGTATTGATTGATGGCTGCACCGGAGAAGAAAAGAAACCGGAGAAAGATTCTTGCGCAAAACGAGTGCGATAAAAATCCAACTTGAATTTGATTGGACGGTTGCAGTGAAGGATCGAACCTAATAGACCCCGCGTCTCTCTTTCTTTCTTCTTTTCCTCCTCAGGCTCAATTAGCCTTACTCTCAAGAGAGAGGAGGAACTTTTCTTTCCAGGCAAATTGCACTGCAGAAATTCGATCCACGTTTTTTTTTTTTTTGCGCCCATCATTACTCATGAGTGAAATCCAGTCGCGAAAAATCACCTGTCAGCTTTGTCATGAAATTTATACATGGGGTGAGTTTTGACACGTGCCTGTCAATGGCAACCAACCCCGCCAAAATCGGATCAAAGAGAGAACGGCAACAAAGTAGTGCATTCATTCTGTACTCGGAATTCGAGAGGAAACAAAATATCAACGATAATAAAAAGAACCACAAACGAGCCATTGAAAAGTTGTGCTTTGAAGCCAGACGACATAAAAGCTCTTCGATTTATTACAATTACTTAAAAGGTGTGGCGACCTTTGACGGATTTGTGTTTACCAGAATTATTAATGACCGTTTCAGAGAGTTTTAGTTTTTGCCAATTATATTTTATAAGCACAATCTTTGAACCATACATTTAATTAATTATATTACATTTGTCAATTAAATAATTTATTATCTAGAAATTCTAGAATTGAGCTTTTATTTGACAATATATTCCAATTTTACCATATAAAATATTATGAGAAAAATTTAAAAATTCATTATTGACAAAGAAAATAAATTTTGCGAGCTGAAATGTCTTTTGTATCTTTAAAACTTCTAATTAATCAAATTTCGGAATTTCCATGGTCTTTTTTTAAAGGTTTTGTATGTAATTAATAATAAAATTTTTAGCTTTTATCCAACCCATAGTTGAAATTATGAATTTCAATTAACGTGCGATTTTATTAATTGATGGATCTAATTTTCAGGTTTTCCCCTGAAATTCGTGTTTTTAGACGGAACAAATGTTTTTAATTGAAATGACGACCAGTCAGTATTCTGTAATAAACCAACGTTGACAGTGCGGCTTGGTGCACACGTATTGTATTATTTTAAGCTTTTCTCGCGCTTGCAATGTCGCTTTTTCTCTCTCGCGCGCCTCTAATTGTAAAACTGCAGAGTCGTTTTCCGCCCTAGTTGGCGCTTTCAGATTGGAATCGCTTTGGACGGATGAGATGCATCCAAATGAGCCCTGCTGCTG